ACCGAATAAATATATGTGGCTTTAGGACTATTCCACGCTGACATATAATGTAGAATAAGGTATCTACTGTGGTAAGATTCAACTTATATGACATCATTATTTCCGACGTACCCATCATTTTGTAATAATTTGCAGCGGAAAATCTACCTAACCGGCCAGGCATCAACCTCAACATCGGACCAGTTGTGCACTCATGCCTATTCCAATATGAAATATATCTCTTTCCGCAATCCAACTCCTGTTGTATATGACCATATATATAATCTGAAAAACAGTCATGCATATCAAGGGGTAAGTTGCCAGTTCCTTCTTACTGCCTGAATCTCGATGATATTGGCAACTAACTTGAGGTCCACATTTAGTGCCAACATTTCTCGGTTCTATGCATTTGGAAGGTTCACCATTATTCTGCCAATAAAAATTAGTGCCAACTACCCAGAATTAGCTATAGAGAGTAGGCATAAATCAATCTTAGTTCAGGGGTCAATAGAAGTTTACCTGCAAGAACAAAATTGCAGGTTCTACCTCTTTAGTACAAAACCATCCCTATTTACCATAAACTATTTTTATTATCAGCCAACATATATTATTACTACTATTAGCCATTAATATGAATCCAACAAATTTGAGCAAGTTAAAAAAAAAAACAGATCTGGTACATATTATAGTGGAACAAGCCTTATTTAACCTGCATGTTGTTCTTTTGTTATCAACCTAAAGAGGAAACAATAATGCTACTAAATGATGTATGCTTGAGGGTAGTCATCCGAGGGCGACCAATTAAAAGATCAATTCATATATGTGGTCTTTGTGTTATTGTTTTTCTTTAGGTTGGTGCACACAGATATGTGAGGAAGGCAGATAAGCTCTATATACAGTAGCAAGGATGTTTTTCATTAAATTATTACAAACCTCCTAAAAACGCAGCGACATCATTGTGAATAGTTTGGACCTCTATTTTTCTTTAATCTGCATGCTTCGCCCTTGTTCTGTAGTCCCACTAAAATAGAGAAATTTGTCTAAAGAGGGAGAGGTCATGCAAGTGGAGTTTAAGAAACCCGCACGATAAGAAGACTCGCATTCAGAGGTCCTGCAACTGCATGCACCCCAGTGAAAAATGTCAAAGAGCCATTACCTTAGTTAACCTTGTTGTGTAATTTGCCTGAAGCCTGGAACTACATCGATCACCGATCACATCAGGCTACACAAATAGAACATACACCTCCATCCTGACAACAGGCGCATTAAAGATTTAACATGGTCGGGGATCAGGAATCATGGAAAAAAGAATAGAAACAAGACATAGGTATGTGTAGACCATTGAAAAGAAGTCAACAACTCATCTTGTATATTTTGCTGAATATTTTCTTAACGTTTAGGTCTAGGACTATAATGGTATTTCACAAGGGAAAAATGTATCGGATGAGAAACGGTAATATCCCACCTTTCACCAAGGAAATTCTCGTCCTTATATGCTCAGTTCGGGAGATGTTTAGTTCATGTGCACATGCGATAGTAATGTATATTATGCTGAATATTTTCTTAACATTTAGATCTAGGACTATAATGGTATTTCACAAGGGAAAAATGTATCGGATGGGAAACGGTAATATCCCACCTTTCACCAAGGAAATTCTCTTGCTTATATGCTCAGTTCGGGAGATGTTCAGTACATGTGCACAGGCGATAGTAAAAACTACAGCTTACATAGTTGGCTATCGCAATACAGCTATGTCAAAAGCTCCCACCAGAATTCGGCCACAGCTCTGAACAACAGTGGGAAGCGATCATGTTCAAACATATCAACTTGAAATGCATGGTAAATATCAGGATATTATCTTTCTGATAAAGGTGCAGAGAATGGAAATATTTAAATATTTTCTGGTGCTGACTAAAATATTTAGCAGTAGTACTCTTTGGCATTTCAATTTTAAAGAATCAACTACAGGCAAGCAAGGGTCCCAATTCTAAATCTCATACCTCAAGATGCAGAAAGGACTGAACCTAGGCCTCTTCTCAGTGGAATACCATCAAACAACTACACTGCATCCAGAAGGGCTTGAATTCGATATCCAGAAGGATGTTGGATGCTTTTATATCCCTGAAGATAACCTGCCACACCAAAAGACCGAATGAGATCTTGACCACTTCTTCCTTGATCTATGATTATCCCATCATAAGTTTAGCGAAAGGCAAAATATTACAACCTCACAATTTGCAAGTCTGTCTCTTATGACATATATGTCCATATGGCAACATGCATATCTAAAACTGGCTATTTCCACTTTGACCTAAATGTTTTTTCTCAATATCACAATTTTATTTAACTTGTTAAGAGCCACTGACCTGGCAATGCTTTCGTGATTGTGAACATGAATCAGAGAATCAGAACTGGGTACACCCAAGTCTTCCAAACCAATTCCCATGGTGCAAATAGGGTAGCACCCAAGAAAAAACCCGGGGGCCACCAAAATGTCGGTTCTTCATGTGGTTAGTGGCACATAATAAGTGCTGGACAGCTGACCGCCTTGCACGCGGGGCTGCCCCGTCCGGATTGTTGCCCACTTTGCGATCAAGAGGAGGAAACTGTAAACCATCTTCTGGTCGGTTGTGTCTTCGCTAGGGAATTCTGGTTCCATTTGCTAAGGCAGGTCGGTCTCCTGGCCTTATCTCCACAACCTAGTGAAAACTTCTTTTTTGGGTGGTGGGACAGAGCTAATAGTACTACTCCTGAACAGTTAAGACAAGAGGTTAATTCCCTAATCATGCTGGGGGCTTGGATTCTTCGGAACCATTGCAATCGTTGTGTTTTTGATGGAGCGGCTCCAAGTATTGCTGGGGCTTTAGCCATGGCTGGTGAGGAACGCCTACTGTGGACCTTGACAGGGGCTCGAGGGTTATCCCTCTTGTCAGCCCACCTCCCAGGAGATTAGTTTTCTTAGGTCTGTGTTTCAGCCAGCTTAGGTGAGCTGAGTCTGTTGTGTTGAGTTATGTGTGTGAGTGCGTTGTGTGGGGGTGTGGTGTACTTGTGTTGGGTTCTTTCACCCATTTTCTTTTTAGTATAATGATGCGTAGATCTCCTACGTTTTTTTTAAAGAACTGGGTACACTACATACGTGCAAATATGTTGTTGAACTAATCATGTTTAGGCAAACTTAGTATTTTGTATCCACTAATGGAACAAACTGTGTTATATTAGCCATGAGTGTAAAAAGATGATGATTAACTAACAATGTCACATACACTCTGCAATATGAAGCTTTCGGTATGTTTTGCTATAATTTTTTTTGAAAGATCATGTTTTGCTATGATATTATATTTATTACTGAGCACAAAACAATAGTCTCAATTATCAGTTATAATTTACTTTTGCTTTTAAATCTGACATAACTAATTGGAACTTCTCTCTGGTTCTTGAGCCAGCAAAATGACCATCCTTGGCAACCTTGCTAAAATCACCATTCAACCAGCTTCTTCCGACAGATACATACCTACAAGATGGAGAAAATAATACAAGGAATTAGCAATACTCTAAACCCATTAACATAAAAGGAGATAGGTCTTACAAGAGATTCGTTAGTATATTCTGAGCCATATATTTAAACATATTATTTTAGCATTAACAAAATCATGGATAAGAATCTGAACCAGAGAGCAATAGTGCTTCCAATCCAATTCCTCACTTTGGCGAGTCACCAGGCAAGCCCGCAGATGCAGTAGATCACTGCGTCACTTTGATCCAATAGCGACATCAATTAGACTCCATATTTGTGCCTGACAACAAAATACAAAAAATCCATATCATCTCTCATTATCGATTTTACAGAAAATACAGTATTAAAGAGTAGCAGCCTACTGTTTTGAGTGTATGAATATGCAATCCATTATTCTAAGTAAAAACATAACAGGAACCAGGACCCGAGAAGCTACACAAGCATCAAAGAGAGCATACAAGAGGGGAAAAGATCATGGAAAAAAAGAAGAGGAACCTAGGACCTGAAAAGCTAAGAAGCAATCGACGCGGTGGTCGGACGTGAGCGTACGTCATCCATGACAATCCATGATGAGCGATGGCAGGTCCACCACAGGGATGTCGTCACCCTCCGTTGCAGCTGCTGCGGTTTCGACCTGCACCATGTGCGCAGGGCACTCCGCCTCCGGCTTCGAGGCAATAGGTGGAAAGCGATGGTCTCGAGGCAGAACCGCAGTGTCGAGGGAGGTGGGAGTGCCAAGGATCGCAGATACGGATCCGTGAGCAGAGCCGCAGAGGGATAGTGGCAGGGATCTCACCTATCAGATCTTGGATCCTGCTCACCGGATGCAGGGTCGGCCCAGAGGGGAGGGGGGAGCGGGGCGACCATCGGCGCGCGAGAGGAGGGGTCTGCCGGTGGTGAAGCAGCCGTCGTGCCCTTCGACCAAACCCAAGGCGCGTTGTCGGGGGGCGGCGACCGAGGGGGGAGTTGGCACAGGACGGGCGCGGGTGGCGGCGGCGCGGCGAGCTGCGGGTGAGGGCGACGATGGGGGCGTGGCGGATGCTGACGACGATGGCCGGCCACGCGTGGAGCGAGGGCGCGAGCAAGGATGAGATTTGTCGCGAGGGGACGGGCGTAGGAGCGTGGACTATCAGGGAAGAGGTCCCACTTGCCGGCGCACGGGGGAGGGCAGGAAGGTGTGGCGAAGTTTTTGTCGCACCAGAACAGTGTCTCCTCTTTTGTCTTTTTAGTTTTGAGATTGTTGCGCGCCCTGTCTCTACCGCACCAACCCATCCATCGATTTCACTGGATGCTCAAGGCTGCTCGCTGTACTGCACTCTACTCTCTCAGCTCCCTTTATATTTGACCACCGCCCCTCTCCACCAAGCGCATCCACCTCGGCCTCCATCCCTAGCGCTCTCGCCCCAAAGCACGCCGCAGAGACACCACCACCATCCTTCGCTTCTCTCTCTACCCCATCCCTCTCTCTCTCCTCATATTGATACACCAGCGCCGCTGCCTGCTTCCATGGAACCCAACAACAATCAGCCTGCTGCGGCCACGGCCGAGGCAGCTGCAGGCAGCGGCCCCGGCGGAGAAGGGCGGAAGGGCAAGGCGCCCAAGGGCGGGCCCGAGAACGGCAAGTTCCGGTACCGCGGCGTGCGGCAGCGGAGCTGGGGCAAGTGGGTGGCTGAGATCCGCGAGCCGAGGAAGCGCTCCCGCAAGTGGCTCGGTACCTTCGCCACCGCCGAGGACGCCGCGCGCGCCTACGACCGCGCCGCGCTCCTCCTCTACGGCCCCCGCGCGCACCTCAACCTCACCTCCCCGCCGCCGCCTACACTCGCCGCGCCGCGCTCGCACCCGCACTCATCCGTGACGTCGTCGTCTGCCCCGCCAGCGCTCCGCCCGCTCCTGCCGCGCCCGCCGCTGCACCAGCTCTCCAGCGGCGCCTGTGCTCCTGCACCGGATTTCCACCACCACCAGTTCCAGTACCACCACCTCTTGCCGCAGCCGCAGCCGACACCGCCGCTATACTACGCCAACACGGCCACGGCGGCCACGGTGACCACCACGGTACCGACACGGGTGGCGGTTCCGCAGGAGCCGGCCGTCGCGCCCGCAGTAGGCTCATCGACGTCACTAGTGGAGCCGCAGGCGGGTACGCCGGAGGAGGCGCCCGGGGAGGCAGGGTGGGACTACCACGGCGGCGAAGAGGAGGACTACGCGGTGGCGCTGCTGTGGGACGAGCCAGAGCCCTTCTTCTGGTTTGATGTCTTCCTCAAGTGATGATCAGCACGACGCTTCATGCCAGCACCTTGGTCGGGTTTGAAGTTTCGAAGCGACGGCAGCTCATGCTCCTGCATCTGCATGCATGTGTTTGGGAGTAAGCAAGCAAGAAAGGTAGATAGGCTTACTAGCTAGGGTTTCTGATTCCTTTGTACTAAATTATCTTTAGATTCTTTTTATCTCATTCTTCTTATTTTTCCCTGGGAGTGTGATTGAGGTATAGTAACGTGAGGTGGTATTACTGGGAGGGATTTAGGGTTCGCTGTTGATTTAAAGATTCAATTTGAATCACATCGGATCCATTTCTTGCATGGATGTGTCCTCCATGCATGGTTGCAGTCCATTATCATGATATGGCATATATAAAAATCAGAGATGCAACAAATTTTTTCCCCTTTCGTCGATCCTCTGTTTTCCCCTTTCAAATGCTGAATTTTAGTACAGATAAATCGAGGCTTCACCTGGCTCCTAGTCCTGATTTTGCTGCTGTTCCTATTTCTACATTAAAAAAAAGAACTTATGATGCATATATGACTGCATGCAAGTCATGGTTTCATGGATCCGTATATATATACCCATCATCTGCACATACCACTTTATCCTGAAATGGATATATCAGTGTAACTTGGTTTTTGCACATGTGATTTACTCCTTTTAAGAAACGTTTTGTTTGGCAAGAGAAATAACTTCTCGGCTAATTGATTATATTTCAATCCATATGTTCATATTAGGTATTTGGATCCTCATTTCCTTTTATGCTGAATTTTGTGAACTTTGCTTCTTTGTACGTATTCCTAGTTTCTTCCCATTTTATTTGCTCCAAACCTGTTTCATAGATATCTGAATAATAATATAATCTGTCCCTATGATAGTTCTGTTGAATTTGATGGCCCAACATATGGAAATCAAACTAACACTCCTTATATTGGCTATTTAGAACATATGAATTACATGAGAATTTCTTTTTAGGCGAGATATGAATCTATCTTAGGAATTTGATAATGCTTGAACTTGTGACATTAAAGATGTGTTTGCATACCTCGATCATATTTTATTTTGTTCTTGAACCTATGCATGGAAGACTCCAACAGAACACTTCATTTGTTCTTGAAATTATTTTATTAGTAACATTTTTGCTTGTTTTGAAAAGCCTCATCTCTATATATGCACGAAAACTTTCAATGTAAATTCGTTCTTTGTTTCATCTTTTGTAGTTGTCCCGTTCTACGCATGATGAAAAAATAGCAACCAAGCTCACGGTCCAGTGATGACCGCTCTACTCAATAAGGTCACTGTTTATACTTTGGAACCATTAGTAATAATAATAATAGTTAGCACCTAAATTAAATTTGGCTAGTTCCCAGTGGATCCATAGGTCTGTTATTAGTAGACCTAGTATTAACTAGGAGTATTAGCTAAGGTCCTGTTAACAATTAGTTCATTAGCTAGTGGGGGTCTGCTGAGAGATGCTAATAGTTATCAATCACCAATTAGCAACATACGTATTATAGTACGTGGATCTAGACAACCCCTGCTAATAACTAGCAACTACTACACATCCGCCCTAGAAATGGTGGAATAATGTTCAATCGAAACCTCTTAAGTTTGACTAAATTTATATAAAAAGATAGTAATATTTAATAGACTAAATATGTACCATTATATTCATCATGGAATATATATATTTTCATACTATACTTATTTGAAGTAAAAAAATGTGAATACTATTTTCTATAAACTTAGTCCAAAGTTAAGATAGTTTCGCTCAGATCAAACATTAGAAATTGCATCCTTTCTGGGTCGAGGGAGTATTAACTAGCTTAACTATTAGCAATGGTGGATCCAAATTAAACAATTCCTAACCATTGAATGTTTACATGCATATATATGGTAGAAGCACCATACCTAGTATCCAAGTTATTGCTATTACTATGCTTCCTTCTTGAATCTAGTCTATCAAATAAATCTTTGATTAACCCGAGTGATTGTATGTTTCTTAACTATTATTTGATTAACATTGTCATTATATTGGGCCTTGAGTACCCTCACCACGAGAATAGCCTAACTAGGAGGGGATGATGGGCTGAACCTGAGGAAGGGAAGGTCCAAACTAGAGTGATACTTCAACTACTCGAGAGACAAGCCATCAACTAGATATGCTTAATTAGAAGCCAGATAACTTTGTAAGGAAAATGGACCCTTGACCTATTTATTTTGGATTTTGGTGTTTGATGACCAACACAACCAAATTGGACTAATGAATTTGCAAGTGTTTATTTTGTAGTTCAATAGGATGCAAGACATGACTTGGACGAAGGCGATGTGGTGATCCGATGATCAACACTTTAAGAAAGACATTAAAAGCACAAGAGAAGACCTAAGATATCAATCAAAGTCCAAGCACGAAAATTGGAACCAAGCCGTACGCAAGATCGCGAAGAAATGAGCTCACTGTGGTGACCGAATGCAGGACCGGACGCTGGACAAGCGACCGGACGCTGGGCAAGTGGCTCGGCAGACAGGCGACCGGATCCTAGACCGGGCGCTGGCAGCAACCGACCGGACGCAGGACAGCAGCGTCCGATCGATTACAGTAAGGTTCCTGAGCGGCAAATCTGCGACCGGACGCTGGCCAGCGTCCGATCAGTATATTGCTGGCTCAACGGTTGGGACGACTGGACGCGTCCGGTCAGGACGATTCAGCGTCCGGTCAATAGCAGTTTCGCGGGAATTCGCCCCCAACGGCTACTTTCTCAGTGGGGCTTATAAATACAACCCCCAACCGGCCATTTGAGAGGTGTGGAGCTGAGGAAACATACCAAGGGTGTTGATACACCATTTTAGTGATCTCCACATGCATAGTGCTTAGTGTTTTATTAGGTGATTAGCATAAGTGCTTTGCGAAGTGCTTAGGTTGATTAGACCACCGCTTGTGCGCTTGCTCTAGGTTTATGCCTAGTGTTTAGTGAGGTTTGCATACATCTTGCCACCCCGTGCTTGCGAGCACAAGTGTTGTACATCGGAGGGGCTTGAAGTCTTGCGAGATCACACCAACCGCGTTTGTGGTGTGGCCACCACCGTGTACCGGAGGAAACAAGGCCCGCGGCGTTTCGACCGGAAGCTTGATAGTGAAGACGGCTGGGAGCATCCGGGAGAGGCTTGCCGGAAGGCACGTCGGAGACCCACTTGAGCGTGGGGAAGGCCCGAGGCTATCCACGGAGTTACCCGACCGGGAACTTGGCCCTTGTGAGGGATTCCTTGCGAGGGGCTCCAATAAGGACTAGGGAGAAGCTTGCGCGCTTCTCGATACCTCGGTAAAAATACCGGAGTCGTCGACGGGAGTTTGCATATCTCTACCTTGCTCTTTAGCTTCCGCATTTACATTTATTACTTTACTACGTTTGCGATAGAGATAGCAACACACTAGCAAAATCATAGTTGCACATCAAAATAGTTTATCTATTGCATAGGTTTTGCTAGGGTTAGAAAAAGAGGCCATAGTTTAGAGTTAGAAATTTTAAGTTGCCTAATTCACCCCCCCCTCTTAGGTGTCACGGTCCCTTCAATTGGTATCAGAGCCGGTTGGCTCAATTTGGACTAAGGATGGCAACGGGTCGGGTTCGGATCGGGTGGAGTCTCCGTGCACCCAAAACCGAAACCCGAAATCGAAACCCGAATCCGCCCCGAAAACCGATTCGGGTGGAAATCCATCACCAAAACCAAACCCGCGGATACCCGAAACCCGAACGAATACCCGAAACCCGAATGGATACCCGAAACCTGCGGATATATATACACATATTCACATGTATAAACAAGAGGCAACAAATAATAAATATTTTCATGAGTCAACTTTAAATAAATTTAATAATCTAAGTAAACAAATTATTATTAGTATATTATAAAACATGAGTTTTAATTCCAAATGATTTATTTCGGATATCCATTGGATATCCACGGGTGGAAAACCAAACCCGAAACCGAACCCGAATGGTTTCGGGGCCCCGAACCCGAAAACCGCGGGTGAAAAACCAGCCCCAAACCCAAACCCGCAGAACCCGAAACCCACGGATATCCGCCCCAAACCCGATCCGTTGCCATCCTTAATTTGGACCTTTGGCTTAACCGTCGTTGAGCTAACGCTATTTAGAGTGATTGGTATGGATACCGCTAGGCCTCCGCAATTTGACGGCACTAACTTCCCATACTATAAAGCTAGAATGGCTTGCCACCTTGTGGCGGTTGATTTGGGTGTATGGAGAGTCACTCGTGACGGGATGAAACCCATCAAGAATCCCGAAAAACCCACAAAGAGTGATGAAAAAGAAATGCACTTCAATGCTAGAGCTAAAAATTGCTTGTTCGAATCACTTAGTATGGATGTTTTTAACCAAGTATTCACTTTAAATACGGCACATGAAATTTGGTTAAAACTCCAAGAGCTCCATGACGGCACAAGCAATGTCCGTGAGCAAAAATATTGTCTAGCAAAGCAAAACTATGATTCCTTTACTATGAATGATGATGAGCTTGTTCGTGATATGTATTCTCGTTTGAATCTAATTATCAATGAGCTCCATTCTAATTATTAAAGCTAGATGATGCGGACATCGTGAGGAAGATCATCTCCGTGCTACCATAAAAGAAATATGCAAGCATCATCACCATCCTTCACAACATGGAGGACTTGAGCAACATGACCCCGGACATAGTCATTGGCAAGTTAGTGGCATTTGAAATGTCACGTAATATGGGTCAAGAAGAAGCTTTCTCATCAAGCAAAGGCAAAGCTCTCGCTTGTAGCGAGAAAAAGAAGATGAAGGGCAAGCTAGTTGAGACAAGCTCAAGCTCAAGCTCCTCAAGTGAAGATGAAGAAGAAGATAAGGACGATGATGATGATGATGAAGATTCAAGTGATGATCAATCTTCCTCCTCCACCTCCGATCTTGATGAAGAATCAATCAAAGTGATCAACAAGGTGGAGAAGATGATCCAAAGGC